AAAAGCTTGCTAGAAATTGATTTTATCAAACTAACCAAAAAACAAAAACGATTGTAATCCTATTTGTAATATTTATTCCTAACAAGATAAAAACAAAAATATATTCATAAAAAAAATAACGAAGTAATAAAGGTCCCTTAAAATTAATATTATCCATCAATCTCTTGATCTGTATCATTTTCCCCATTTGGAGAAAGCTCATTCTCGAGTTTTGAAATAAGTTAAGATGAAGTCTATGTCAGTTAACTCGAATATTATAAACACGATCTTGGGGTTTGCGGGTTACTACACTAATCAAAACATAGTGATCGTGCATTGAAACTAAGAAACCCTCGAGGAAAGGATCAATGTATGTCAATAAAATATGTTCCGCCACATATACTTATTGAAATTGAATCAGTTCATCCATTTAGCCCTGCTGAATTTGTCTAGATTGGAACACATCACGAGTGTATCTTTAATATTAGTGTTAGATTCTAAGACTGAACCGATAACTTCACCTATCTATTCTCCTTTGAGTGCTTCATCTTTTTCCTCATCAAATATCAATTCAACCATGAAATCTTGATTATCATCGTAGATCATAATTCGTACGAAATGTTATTCTTCATTAAATATGTAACAAAAACTGATGGCACATCTACAACTTGCTGATTTTTTATACGAACTAGGCCAAAATCAACCTCGTTCTCTTTCAAATCATGTAGATCAACTAAATCCTATGATCTATTTTCCCAAACATGAGGCTTCAGACATGCATAGATCGGGTTCTTGAATACAGCTTTCGACTTACTACCGTTAATCATAGTGTGCTGGGACTGGTTTTGCGTTAAACGTTGGGTCAGCTCCTCAACTTGCCATCTCAAATTTTCTAACTAAATATCTTGAATGTCTCGTTCTTGATAGATGGGCTTATTCCCGGAACCCGGTTGTTAACCACGTTCATCAACCATGATGCCTTAGTGATGAACACCACGATCTACAAGAACCTATGCTCAGATACTACCTCACATATAGGAAAAGTCACCGGCATCCAATAACCAGCGATCTAGTTACGTTTTAGAGAGAAACAAAACAATATAGAAGATATCGCAAGAAGACACGATAATGGACAGTTGAGACCTCCTACCGCATACTCGTAACAAGAAACAGACAAAAAGAAAAGAAAAAAAAATCACAAAGGCTCTCTCTCTGTCTAAATTGTTGATGTTTCTTTTTTCCTTTCATCAAAACATAACCAACTTTTATAATGGGTCATTTTCATTTTATTCACTTCCAAAGTCTCCTAAAATATTTGCCAACTAAATAATAACTAACCAAACAATATATTGCCTTTAAAAGCGTTTATCTACATCCCAAACTAAATAATAAACCCCATCTAATTAGAAGCCTTCCTAAAAGTTGACCTAAACGAAAAAGACTCTCTTTCTCATTATCTTTAAAAAAAACTTGCTAAAAATTATACTTTATCAAACTTACCAAATAAAGAAAAACATATTAATCCTATTTCTAACAATTATCTCTAACAAATTAAGTCTCTCAAAAATTTAAAGAAAAACATTACGTCCATCCATCTGCATCAATTCTTTTGCTTATTTTTTTCAACATGGTGCTTAATGGTTGGGTTTTTTGATCGGGATGCGTACACCTGGTGTAAGTGTTTTCATGATTCGGCCCCCCTTGGAAGAGAGGGGTCAAAAGCATGGTTTTAATCTCAATGTAGTGACCCTCCTCGAATGATGGCCTCGCCAAGTTGACAGCCCAGGCCTTGCCCTTGTCTTTAGGGCTTGACTTGATGCTCATTACTTCAATCTAGAAAATGAATGTTGATTACTTCATTCTTCAATCTAGAGGAGAAGGCATCATTTCGACGGACATGCCTTTTACCCAGTATTTGTAAAATCAAACCAGAACGGTTAACTGAGAAAGGAGCCGGAAGTGGTTTAATCAGTCTAATCGGTAAATCGGTCGATTCAACCATTCTAATTGAGCAAGATCCATGCAGCAAAAAAATTGTTGAATAAAATGAATAATATGTAAAAACAAATCTACTAAAATAGGAAAAGCATATAAAGAACGATTAAAACAAAACACATTCAAATGAAGTTGAAAATTAATGAAAAAATGGATATTAAAAGTGAGTATTAATGAGCAAAGCAATTTTAAATATTTAACATAATGTAAAAAATAGTAAAAAATGTATTACAAATCAAATTCCTTATTTTTTATAATTTATAGATATTTTTTTGACGATCACAAAAACTGCCAAAAATCGGAACAGGCAAGGGGCCAGTTTTTTTCTATTTTTTTGTTTCCATATTGTATTAAAATAAATCTACTACTAAATTTAGGAAAAATACAATCATTACATAAAGGGTAGAGCGAAGGATCTATACAATCAAAGTAAACTGCACATTCAAATAGTGTCGAGAAATGTGGTTTCAATACAAGAAATCTTTGTGATAGTCTTAAAATATATTTTTATCTTTGATTATAAAATTTAAAGCTTTAAAAATAATATAGATCGTGCAGATTTATGAAAACTTGAAAATCTTGAAAATTGATGGTCCAAAATTACGTTAAAGATGAAAATATAAAATTTAAAGCTTTCAAAATAGTATCGATCGAGCAGATCTATGAAAACTTGAAAATCTTTAAAATTGATGGTCCAAAATTACGTTAGATTCAATCTGCAACAACTTCCAATTTGAAAATAAGAAATCGCCATGAAGAGAGAAAAAATAAGAACTGTATTGAAAGAATAGAGAAAGCAAGAAGTAAGAAACAAGAATGTTTATGTTAAGACAAGAAGGGCTTAGATGTTGTTCGACGGATAAATTTGTTATCTATATGCCACTCTAGTTATGACAAAATACCCATGAACTTTGCTAATAACACCTTTGTCTCAACTCTGTGGCATTTTGTGTGAGAGGATTGTGTCCTATATATTTATGTTTTTAATGTATAAATAGTCACACGAGGGAAGAGGTCCTCTGCTCATGCCCACACTAGGAATAGAACTAAAGGCATCACATCCTCACCACAATGCCTTTTAAGCATCATAACGAGAAAAAGCAGGGGCGAGAATTTAATCTGATAAGATTTCTTTAAAACAATGATAAAAATCTGCATGAAATGAAATGGTTTCAAGGTTTGTATATCGAATACCATTAGCAATAAGCTATCATTAAACAATTCAAACCCCCTAGTAGCATGATGCAGTTTAAACAAATTAAGTTCATAATTCAGACAAAGTGAGCGATTTAAAACTGCTTGATATGGTTAATTTCAGGAAAGAAGAAAAAACTTAGACTAAAAATATTCAAAACATTGTATATGAAACAACCGTATCAAATATGGGTGCTGGAGAAGTTGGCGGCGCCGATTGGTGGCGGAAGCTCCCGCAAGTGGACATGCTGCAATTTAGGTATAAGGGAAGGCCAGCCATTGGGATTGCGGGTGAGCTCCAGAAGTGAATCCCTCACATGCTCTGCCTGTATGGCTTCGTTATCCCTCATCTGGCAACAAGACAAGCGCACCAATTTGCATCCTCAGAACCGAGAGGGAGGCGGCTCTGTCCCGGAGAAAGGATTGTTGAGACATACCTTGACTTTGAAGACATTAAGATCGAGGCTCATGTAAGTAGTGATATTAACATGTATTACTTCGAGGCCCAAGGCATCCATGGCCTGCATTATCCTTGCAAAACCACCACCGCTTTCCTCGCAAAATATCTTCAGGTTGAACTCATGGGCACCTACTTGGTTCACCTCAACCAGAACCTGAAAACAAACAGAAAACAAATCACCATTCCTTATTTCACTATTAGGTCGTTTTTGGAGATTAAGTAATGCAGAGAGATGAAGAAGAGAACGAGCAAGCTGAGATATCTGCTCTGAGAACGGACATACCTCTATTTGCTGCTGCTGAGCCTTGTCATCGGAAGAGTCATTGTTGATGTTGGGGATATGCAGCAGGTGATGAGTAGTGGATGAGGATTCCTCAACCCGCCCCTCCATGATGCTAAAGCCACCATGGTTGTTGCTATCAGAGGAAGGGGTCGTAGCCGGAGGAGCACCACCATCGCCTCCATTCCCTTGCTGTTGCTGCTGCTGCTGCTCTTCCTCAGTTGTATCATCCAGCTCCTCCTGCAGTGCCTTCACTAGCATCTGCAGCACCTTTACATACTCTATGACATCACCCAAGATGGATGCCCTGTCCATCTATAAACAATCTCATACCCACGAAATTACATATGTTTACTTCAAAAAAAAAATGAGAGCATCGTTGAAAGATGAATAAAGGAAGATGGAAAAAAAGACTGAAACAGATTATAAAAATGAAAGTTTACAGTTTGAAAAAAAAAAAACCAAGAGTAGGGGTTGGGTTGTCATGTTGGCCTGCCTTGGTGATCTTGGGCACGAGGGAGAGGAGGGTATAGAGCCTTTCACTGAGCCTCTTCCTTCCCTTCCTCTCAGCCACCAGGTTCTTAGACTAATGTTTCCTTCCAGACCTTCTCTTTTGTTCGTCGTCATCCTCATTGCAGTTAGAGATGGAGTCACCCCTCTGCTCACCCTCCTGCTCCACCTGTGATGAGGATGATGTTGATTTAAGATTGGGGAAAGAGATTGGAGGCTTCATCAGGCCATTGGAGAGCATGGAGTCAGTAGAACCATCCAAGAGAACGTTGTTGTTCCTCTGCTGCTGTAAGCCATACGACCCCCAATCCGAAGGAGAAGGGACACCGGTCCATGGGGGGTGGTGATGCAAGTCCTTTTGCCTGCTGCCGAGCATTTGGTGGTGGTGGTAGTAGTATCTTCTTTCGTAATCTTCCTGTAGGTCTGTGGGGGATTCGGGCTCGAAACTTTGGTGGTTTCCGGCTAAGTTTTCTGATAAGAAATGGAAAGGTATTTCCTTTATGGAGGAAGATGAAGAAGAAGATATCATCATTGCTTCCTGCCTCTGCTGCTGCCAAGATTCCTAATGGAGAGGGTGTTCAGGGGGCCAATTTGCAGGCCACCGCTCCTCCATAACAAACTCAATCACCTCACGATCCTCTGATACCTGTTGTTATCATATTATCAAATCAAACACTCTTGAGAACTCCTTTTTCAATGTCTTTTTCTTTTCCTCTATTGCTTAAACTTGTCAGAATATCTGTTTTATATAATATAATATAATTATTTCGTGCATTTTAAAAAACTAATAAAATAAACAAGGATGAAATGGAGAGGGTGTCACCTTCTGAATTCCATTGCAGATGGAGTACAAAACAAAGAGTAAGACAGAAAGAACAGGTGCTTCACATTATCAAAAGCAAACAGCTCCACAAGGCCTCCTCCAGGAACCGGAATGAATGCCCTTGTATTATTATTATTTGTATTAGCCCCCACTTCCTGCACGATTAAACAAACAAAGAAATTGAATGCATCTCTTCCAAAATCTAAGAAAGAACGAATAAGAGTATTATTAGTACACTACAATCCTAAACAAACAAAGAAACTGAATGCCATCTCTTCCAAAAACTAAGAAAGAATGAAGAAGAGTTGTATCAGTACACTGCAATCCGTTAAGTGGGTGGGTTGAGTATTAGTATTAATCCATCTGGCCTGCCCGGACAAAAGCACCTGTGCATAAACCCTGATTTTTTTTGACAGAATAAGAATTAAGGTGGCCGGAAACTTAAAAAACCAGAATCAATCGATCAATGACATTGGTTGGTTAGGTTACCCAGCAGCAGCAGAGTCCAAAGGGATGGAGGTAGGCGACGCCAAGAGAAGGTGGCAGGACTGGGTCGGTGGATGGGGTAAAATTGTATCCCTGCAATTAAATTTAGATGCAAAAGACCCCGCCAAACCATTCTCACTATCTCCATTTTCAGTAACTCCCCTGCAGCAACACCCCACTCATTCAATACTCCTATACATAAATTTTCAGATCAATCATAATTTATTTATAAAAAATAAGTTTTCCCCAATTACAACAAAAACAGAGAAGAACCTTTCTCTCTTAGAAACAACAATGGCATGAGCTCGCCTCTGGTCGTTGCTGGGTTTCCAATACACACAGTAGTCCCAACACTTAGTAGCTAAAAGAGTTCTCAAACTCTCTTGGAAGTACCCACAAACTCTCTTTGGGAAGGTGAGATCTAAGTGATAGAAAACAATAATCTAATGATTATTAGGTGGTTCCAAAATTTCAGATCTAAAAATGCTCCCAAGTAAATCTTCTAACCATGGGAGTATTTGAACAATGTACACCAGTAGGAGAATAATATAAACTTAAACCTTTTCACATTTCTTGTCATTTTACGCCAAGGCTTTAGAATTTGTAGGTTTTCTGCATTCTCATTTCATCCCCAATTTTTGAAAATATATATTTGTGACATTTTCAAACCTCACTTTGAGGTCTGAAGGAACAAACGCAATATGAGAAAACCAAGCGACTGTAAGGGATGAGAGATCCTTAGCATGTATCAGAGAAGTGAACCATAAAGGTACTCAAAAGAAAACCACCAGATCTGCTGATTTTCCACTATAAAATGCCTTCACCCAAAAGAAAAAGAAAAAGAAAACATAGCATGACAGAACAAATCGGATTAATCCGGACAAGGCTCTCATACCATGTAGAGAAAAACATTTCTGTCTTGATCTTGTTGGAGAAGTCCCATAATCTATAAAGTAGTTGATGCATGACAAGGCTCTCATACCATGTAGAGAAAAAGATTTCTGTCTTGATCTTGTTGGAGAAGTCCCATAATCTATAAAGTAGTTGATGCATTACACGACCTCTCTAATAAACAAAAAAGGAAAGAAAATATCCGAAAATATGTGTAAGATATGCATACTTTCCATTCACGCACAAAAAGTCAGTTCAAAACTTCTACCTTCGAACAACTTCCAATAACCAAAAAAGCAAAGTGCGGTGGGAAGTCTGATCTTCTAACTTCGAACTCACATATTACACTTGGACTTAGCTTGATTTGGAGTTTCTAGTGAGCGTTTCTAGTGATTCGGATATACAAAGGGAGGTGCCCCTAATGTGGCATGCCCCAAGAGTTCTAAAGGGTTATAAAAAATTCTAGATCTAGACATGGTAAACCCCCGATTTAAAAAAAGTGTGGCCTTACGTGCTTCCCGACTTAGATAATTCAACAAGGCTAATAGGATCGTTGTGTATCGTTTGTTTGGTAAATGGGTGTGGGGTGTATCAAGTCCTAAGAGAGTAATTTTAGACAAAGTCGAGTCTTCCTAGTTGTTTTTGGATTATTTTGAGTTATAATTGATTAATTTATTACAATTTTCAGGAACATCATTCGTATTAGAATTTTGAATTCAAGTTTGTACTCTGCCTTGAATTAAGCCATTTTTATTTAGTGATAAAAAGAAAGGTTATATGTCTTTAGGGTTCTTTTTCTTATTTACAATATTGTTTTCTAGCACATGTAAGTAAAATCGAATATAAAAGTCTTATTTCTTCCTTACTACTCCAGTTTTCAGCGAAATCCGAGAAGATTTCCGATAAAAACCATCTCTGATGTATGATGCAAACTAGTTAAAATTAAGATCAATAGAAACTAGTGGGGTCCTTCAAATTATAGTTAAAAAAGAATCCAGATGTGGAGAGATCAGGGTTCCTTGAGAACTATTAGTAGATCCAGCTTGAGATCAATCAACATTTTTCAGAAAACTATAAAATTGAAAAACAAACTTAAAATTAAACTAAAACTAAACTAAATTAAAATTAAATAAAAGAAATAAAAGATCTTACCTAGTCGGGTAAGTTAGCCTGACAACCCGAAGACCCATAGTTGGTGCCCATATCAAACCACGGGTTGTTTACACTATATTCCTTTGCTTTTCTTCATAAAGAACGCCTAGGTTTAGGTTTAGAAATGAAAATTAGGATTTTACTATATAGAATTGAAGTTGGTAGGATTCCTTGCACATAGGGTCAGGATTTCCTTGATCTAGGTTTTAGGTTGGAGTTTCTAAGGTTTTTGGCTAGCTTATGGTTTCTCTCTTTAGGGTTTTCTCTCTCTAATTCTTAAAAGGCTCAAACCTATTAGTTTAGTATGTATTGGGCCTATTATAGACTCTTCCACACATTTCTACGTGTTTTCTAGAAGTTTCCAACATGTTTATCTCTCAAAAAACAATTTGAATAGGTTTAAGTTGGTGGACATCGGACCCCCGAGCAAATGGGTCAATTTTTGGGTGGACATCGGAGTTTTGAAATCTGAATAGGTTTAGACACTAGACCTCTCAGTGTTTTGGGTTTTCTTTTACTCTGTACACCTGACCCCTGTGCACCTAGAAATATGTGTTTGACCTAAATAGGATTTCAACCGAACAAAAATTTTTCGGGCCATAACTTTGAAATCATAAATCGGATTCAGGTGAGACTTGGACCATTGGAAAGATCTTGATCTATTCTTCTTAGAATAAGATCTAGCCTAATTTAAGAAAAAGGCGGAAATGCAGTTACATCATGTATAGACTGACAAACTACTTTATTTTAGAAAACATTTTACAAATTTTGAAAGTAAAGGGCAATTTTAAAAAACAGAACCAGGAATTCGGGCATACGAATTTAATAAAGAAATTCAGACTTTTAAAAAATATTAGTGGTGACTTTTTAGTCCAAAATATTCCAAAACAAATCGAAATTATCATATTCCTAATCCAATTGGGGCTAAAAAATTAGTTTCAATAATTTCAAGCCTAACTCTAGTCTAAACCAATAAACGCACCCTCTAAATTCCCAGAAAAATCACTAAAAAATCGTCAGAAAAATTCTTAGAGATAACTAGGAAATTCTCAAAAAAATTCCAGATAATTAGGAGAACCCTATAGAAAATTAGAAAAATCCTAAAAAATTATTAAAAAATCTAAAAAAACTAGGAAATTCATCTAAAATACCTAGAAAATAGTAAAAGCTTCTAAGTCCAAATTCTCTCCAAAATTCTACTAAAATAAAAATCTTAAGAACAAGTTCTCCTAGATCTGAACCAAAATATTAAAGCCATACTTCGAAAAACTTAGAGAAGGCATAAAGATGTGTAAATCATTATGCGATTCGGATATGAGCCCCAACTCTGGGTTTCTCAGATATATGATATTTCTCTCTTTTATTTGTTTATTTATTTATTTATTTATTTTTATTATGTCTATTTTTATTTTTCGAGTTATTTATTTATTTCTTAGATTAAGTTAGAATTAGAAGCTTTTTAAAGTCTTATAAATGGAATTTATAGTTGGCACTACGAAAAGGATTAGTGGAGAACCAAATATGCAAAGATCTGCGATGCCCCTAAACCTACAATTAGAGCGACCCCACTCTCTTTATTAATTTTTTAAATTTCAATCATTCTACAAGAGATTGGAGTTGATCTAGCTAAAAAATCGGTGCAAATTCTTGCACAAACAGTCTCATAATAAGTGCAAATTCACCATGGAGTCTCGTAATAGGCAAATTTTATACACAATTTAGAATAACTAGGGGGTTCATAAAGCAGATGTTATCCCTGTTACTTTATGAATTTACCAAAGGATTAACTTAAATTTATGCGAGTCAAACATTTTAGTCCAGATATAGTATAGATCATGTGTAACTTAGGTGAAGAAATAAAAATTTATTGTGAAATAAGTTTTTCTCAAATAGGTTATCGGACAAAGTTAGGGTCGGTTAAAATTATACCTAAACAGCTACCCCCTGAATGACGAACGTGGATTGAAGAGTTGTATGTGATATTCAGAAGTTTTGAATGGTGGGATGTATGTAGAATAATTTTAGGAACCATGAGGCTAAACCAATGCTTCATACGATTTTCTGGGAGCTTAAGCATTGCATTTTCATGAAATTTAATTTCCTTCATATATAAAAAATGGTCAATATTCCTTCAATTTTGCCAAGTAGTAAGATGTGAGCAGTCTCGAGGTGGCATTTCACTTTCTCATGCAATGCTTTAATTGAGATATCATATCGAGTACATTTCATTATGAAATGAATGTTTTAATCACCCCAATAGATAATCTTATCTGTGATCGTGATAATTTTTTAGTACAATGGATGAAAAGGGCAGATTGTACATCTTCTGCAAATAGAATCGTAAAGGCCTTATCTCGTTGGATGTCTGTAACAACTTGTGACCATTAAATTACCTCAGTTTACAATGCATGTTTCTGATCTATGTAAACAAGAGTTGTGCATTGAAAGTTCGTCAGAGAGCAATGCAAACATTTTTCTGCAGTAGGATTTCCCGAGTTGAGTGAATCCCAAGAAATAGTCTAACATGGGGTTATCAAAGGGTTACTTTGGAATAGTTGTGGAATGGAATGAAATATGAGAGTTTGATTGTCCCCATGTAATCTAGAATGAGAAGTTTGAGTTTTTATCATCATGGGGATTTTTTATGTTGAAAGCAGAGGTAGAGAGTCACCTTTTAAACGTGTTGGATGCAGATCAAGCCTATATGACTATGAAAAAGAATTTTGTGAATATCCTGGATTAGATGGGAGACTCGTTGTTTCTTTTTTTTTTTTTTCTTTTTTTTCCTTCAACATGTAATTTTTTTTGGGGTTACATGTATGGATGGCCCCATACGTTTCGTATGATAGAATCTATTTTTATCTAACTGTCTTCTCTAATGGGTTGTGTACAATAGTGATCGTGGATACTTCTTATTTCAACTACAAATAGTTGTTCGAGCCAAATAGTTGCATCACACCTTTAATTGTAGAGCATTTTGTAAAATTGCCCCTTTGTTATCAACTTCATTTTTTTTTTCTCTTTC